TTAGGATCTGTGGTGAATCCTTCCCCAAGAGATGACATAAGCCAAGGAGAAAAAAGGACCTCCGGCCCCCTTGTTCATCACAGGCACAGAAAGGAAAAAATTAGTCAGCTTCATAAACAAGTTGCAGTCAAAGCTGCCAACAAAAAAGGGCTTCTAATCCAGATCTTTCTTCTTAACAATTACACGAGCACATTTATCCAAACAAAAAGCACATTTGGGTAGCTAAGTATTTGCACAAACAAAAGCACTATTGATATTAAAATGAAACTAAAAAGAAGGGAGAAAATTGAAGTTTGAGTGCTCAGGGCCTTGGGGGAACCAGTGCATCTCTTTCAATCTTAAGGAAAAAGGCAGAATTTCAGGCTTTGCTGCAAATTAAAGTCTGATTCCGGGACAGATATGCACAGGACCTCCAAGCCCATGAGTGTGGCATACACTCTGCCAGTCTTCAGCTCTGGTTTTGTTCTGATCCCAGAGCTTGACAAGGGCTCAGTGATGCATTTTCATGGGGCTAGCTAGAACACAGAGGTCAGGAAATTGTGCTCAGAGGAGTGCAATACTATAACATTCAACAGAAATTCTAAAAATACAACTTTAGCTTGTAGGAATGAACAAGAAACTAGCTTCCTGATTGAGCAAAGTGGGGAGGGACAGGGAAAAAAAACCCTAATTTTAAGATACAGAAGCTGAAGGTTAAAAGGGCTGTGAAAGAGAGCTAAAAATGAGAATGAGCAGGGAGGGATGGAGCAAAACAGACAGAAAGCCAGAGGCCAGGGGGACTGACTGGGAGAGCTGGACCTGTGACAAGAAGGCACTACTTGGAAGGGACCTAGATAAAACAGGGACAGCCATGGATAGGTTAGCTGGATGTACTTATTGTTGAATATTTTATTACACTATTGATCATAGGGGGGTTGTTATGCTTTTGAATGCATCCATTTCAGATATTAACACTTTTCCAGATATTAACACAGCCAACCTCTACTCAACATAAAGCAAAAACTTGATTTGGTTTGGTGGAGGCAGCCAGAGAAATAAAGATTTCTACCTGGCCCACACACCTTCCAATCCCTCTGGGACTTACTTCCAGACCGGGACCATACCCTGTACCTCTGTGTCCAGTGAGAACTTGTCTGCAGGGTGGCCTCCCCCGCACATGCGCTCCGTACCTGCCCACCCTCGCATCACAGGTGCTCAGTTCCTTGGAAGCACAAAGGTGTGTGGGTCGCTCAGGCCCTCATCAGGTCGCACAGATCAGACTGCTGCGAATCGTGTGGCCCGGTGAGCAGAGGCGCCACACAGCGCTTAGCATAGCACGCCTTTACTCTGCAGTCCTCCCGGCTGTGCAACTACAGTACGGATACCGACCTCCTGGTGGCCTGGCTGCTGCTGGCATGGCAGCCATGTAGCCCAGGACTCAAACAGCAATCGCCAACTCCCAAATATGCCGGGAGGCCAGGAATGCCACTTGGTGGGGGGCAGCTCATCTTTTCATCTCACGTCTAGCACAAGGCAAGTAAACGTCTTTCACATGCTCCCACATAAGCTTCAACTCATGACTAGCATGCATGCCAGCTTCAGTGGAGGGTTAGGGAAGAATGCACTGGCACCAAATGCTGGCTCCAGCAGAATACTGGATTTCTCAACTGATTTCTCTAGGAAGATCTCACTTATGTCCCCGAGCCCATTTACAAAATATTTCACTAGTATTAATGAGAAAATAACCTCCCCAGATAATGGCATGGCTTTCTCTCACACTGTTTTATGTATCTAAGTCTTTTCCTCAGTCTTCCTTTTCCAGGTGACCCATACGATTCACTTTTTTCCCAGGCTTTCTCCTTTCTCTCCTAACAGTTGGCTCTATATACCAGTTGAATATTCTCAGTTCTTACTGAGCTATTTAACGGGCTGGAAGGAGACATTTTATTCTGGAAAGGGGACAAATTAATGTACACACCCTTTCCTTGATTCCCTGACAGTTCTAAAGAGACAAAAGATGGACGTGGAAATCTGAATAGGATGAAGTGAGTGCAGCTACTGGGGGCAGCGGGGGGCAAGTGCAAGTTCCACTGGCACTGCGGTCCAATTTGCACTCAAGGTTCCTGAGTGGTGGTGGTAAACCAGCTCCACGCACTCCTGGGCAATACTGATTATCCATTTCAGTTGGGGTCCAGGCCTAGTTTTTGCATGAAAACAGATCTGGCCACCCTGCATGATGACCTTTGCCAGGAAAGAGACAGGAGAATGTGACCCTATTGGTACCCCAGGCCATGGGATCCTGCTGGGGCTCTACTGTCTGAGTGAAAACTGAGGGGGGCTGCACTGCAGGAGTTCCACTCGTATTTGAATGGCCAGAAGGCAGTGGTTGGGGGACATGGCTTTGCCCCTTGGACTCTCCACTATGGGGTTCGTGAGGGCTACGTCTTGTTCCCCACGGCATTTAACATCTACATGAGACCTCTGAGTGTGCTCCTCTGGAGTTTCGGAGCGTTTTGCTACATGTATGCTAATAATATGCAGCTCTGGTTCTCCTTTTCATCATCAGCAGGTGAGGCTGTGGATATGCCAAACCAGTGTTTGGCCATGACAATGGGCTGGATGATGGTTAATAAACTGAAGTTCAATCTGGACAAGACTGGGATGATGTTGGTGTGTGGATTTTCTGACCGGAGGGAGGGAATCCAGCCTGCTGTAGACAGGGTTGCATCCCCCTTGAAGGAGCAAGTTCATAGCCTGGGGTGCTTTTGGAGTCATCTTTGTCATCGGAGGGAGGTTCGGGTGGTTTCAATGGCTCAGAGGGTTTTCTATTCACTGGGTGGCTCAGTTGTGTCCCTACCCAGACAGGGACCGCCTTCTACCAGTCATCTGTGCTCTGGGGCTGCCCTCAAAGATGGTTTGGAAATGGCAGTCTGTGCAAAATGGGGCAGCTGTGGCAGTTACAGGGGCCAGACAGGCAAAACACACTACACCAATGCTGGCCCACTTGCACTGGGTGCGTTCATGCTTCTGACCCCAAATCAGGGCGTTACTTTGGACTTATAAAGTCCTACCTGGCTCAGGACCACAACACCTGATGGACCATCCCTCCCAACTGCCATCTACCCAGACACTATGCTCAAGATGTGGGGCCTGCCTCCAATGGCCACCTCCAAGGGAGACCTGGTTGGTGGCAGCATGGGGAAGTGGTGGGCCCCCCATTAGGAAACAAGCCCCCCACGGAGGCCCGCCTTGGGAGCCCACTGCTCAGCGACCCACCTAATTGTTAAGGTGATGCATCCTCTGTACTGCAGAATCAAGACACAAGGGAGTACACACATTCTTACTCGGCCATAGCACTTCCATGTTTTGACGCAGCCTTAGAGAATGCAAAGTGTAAGCAGGAAAGAGAGTGGCTGCTATGAGAGAAGTAGCCATGGCCAAAGAGCTCCAGAACCTACAGAGTGCACAGCATAGTCCCAGTACCATTAGAAAGGCTTTCCTGGAGCTCAGGGGGATGCCAGCCTAAGGCAGACTGAGGCTATTCTTGAATTTCCCCTGCCTTCTCGATGATCTTGAATTAGCACTACACTTTGCAACTCAAGTCAGCACAAGACTCACAACTTCTTTTAAGGCACAGCAGGGCCCTTGGTTGCTTTTTCTGTAAGATGCAAATAGCTCTACCCCTCCAAAATTTATCCCAACTTTAAAATGAAAGCCTAAAACATTTGCTTTTGAGTAACAATTATTAGAGTGTGGCTGTGTTGGTCTATTGAAACAACAAAGAGTATTGTGCTGCCTTAAAGATTAAATTTATTCGAGCATAAGTTTTCACAGACTATAGTCTACGGCATGGAGTATTATGAACACCATAATAAACAAATAAGTCTCCCTATGTACTTCCCCTATGTATAATCAAAGAATATAATAATGACCAGCTTCACATGTGATAAGTTGCAGTGTGTGCTGGGACTCATTTGAACATTCAAGATTCCACCCAGAATCCACAAGCTGTTTTCAGAGTTCACCCTTGCGGGTTCAGATGACATGCTGGCCAGTCTTGGCTTGACTGTGCACATTAGCTGGCTGTACCCTGTGACTTTATTAAATAGAGGCACAATCTTACGCATAGAGAGAAGAATATCCCATAACCCCCATGTTGGCTGGAACGCGTAGGTAGCCATAGAACTTTTTCTGTGTAAACACGCATAAGGTTATACTTTAAGTGACAGTGGGCTTGATCATGAGAACCCTTTAATGCAATCCACTCTTCTTTTGCTTTTCTTGCAATGTAATACACAACATTCTCTTTCAACCATAGCTTTCCGCATTCTGCACGGGTCAACAGGTCAGTCTCGATGAGAAATAACAAACAAAGTGGACACCAAAAATGACAATGTTCAAAAACCAGTGGGAAGACACTTTACCCTCCCAGGATAAACCCCTATCCCTGGCCTTAAAGTAGCCATTGTGGAGCAAAAGAACTTCAAAGGAAGGAGAACGAGAGGCTGCTGAAATATAGCTCATTAACAGATTGCACTCAACTGCTGGAAGCTTATTTATTTTATTTAAATTAGCTGTGGGACTGCCCTGAAGGATAAACAGCCGAACAGGGGCAAAGGACCTTATCGGCCCGGGGCTTCTCGAGCGCGCAGTGCTCCTGCTCGCGGCAGCAACTCTTTCGCCAACGGGCAGCGCTCGGCACCGACCCCCCGGTCCTTCTCCCCTTGGTTCTCGCCCCGCTCCACAGGGGCTGCCTTCACGCCTCGGGGACACCTGCCCTGCCCGGGGCGACCGCGCGGGGCTCCAGGGGCCGAGGGCTCCCCGCCGCTTCTGCGCCGCCCCGGCGAACCGGGCCGCCGGGAGGCGAGGCCTCCTGCACGGGGCGCGTTCGCGCCAGTCCCCGGGCGTGGCGACGGGGGCCGCGGCGCAGGCCCACCGAAACGGCTGCCGCCCGCTCCCCGGACGCCGCCGCTCCTCGGCGCCGCCCCCCCTCCGCCTCTCCAGGCAAGCCCCGCACCTACCCCGCTGCCCGACGCCATCTTCCCGCCGCGAGCCGAAAGCCGGAAGGACCTCGCGCGCGCGCGCGCGCGCGCGGGCACGCAGCCCGACGCCGCTCTGGCATCCGAGGCGCGGCCATCGAGACGGCACCGAGGGCGGGGCTGCGCTCGGGGGCGGGGGGCGGCCCCGCCAGGCCCCCACGCGCTCCCGGCCCCTCCCCGCACGGCCGCCCGCTCGCGGCAGGGGG